AAAAAAAACAACTGTAAAAAATCAAATTTGACTTTTTAATTTACATGTTGCATAAGAGAAATTGAATAGAAACACGACTTTCACCTGTGAATGAATCTGTCAAGTCATTTTCAGGAAGTTCCCTGCATAAAGTGGGAGTGTGTGTGGGTGGAGGGGGGGGACTTCATTTTTACAAATGTATTAAGTGGTGTGAGCAGAGGAAATAGAGGAAAGAAACAACTTACTTATTTAATACATTTAGGTAGAGCCGAGTGTACATGCCTTTGCCAGGACCACCAGCCGAGAAAGAGCCACCTCCACCCATCAACATATTCAGTACACAGAATGCTATGAAATCACTATCTTTATGAGAGCAACTCTCCAAACCCACAACAAAGTGAGCCAATTCAGGCATAGGCGTTGGTCCCATGCTCACATTGGACAAGTCCTTCTCTACCTGAAACAAATTGGCATTATATGATACAAATTTGCTTTTCCACAAATAAAATATACAATACAAACTTTATGCACGAGGTCACATCATATTACTAAAGTTAATATTTCCACTATAAAATTTATGCTAACCAATTAATGTTGGTGGTATTAAAATTTTCTAGGTATAAATGGTGTTCAATAACTTGGACCAATTTTAATGTGAATTAAGTTTAAGCGTCTAATGATTTTATTCTTTTTCTTTCAGATTTGATGGACATTTGGGTGATATTATTTTTCATACATAATTGTCATGACTTAAAAATAACATGATCCAATAGAGAAATAAGTAAATTTTCACCAATAACATTGATTTATTTACTTTGATCAGTCTTAATGAAACACCCTTTATTTATATGATAAATCTATGAGGAGTGATATCAGGAAATTTTGACATTATTCATTTACATAGACAAATGAGTGGGACTCCATAAATAGAAGACTTCTTGTCATTAAGCAGTTGTATTAGATTATATGCTAAATGCCCCAAAACAGAAACATCACACACATGCACATTCTTTACATCTTTACAGAAAGAGAGAACAGTAAATTCTAAAGAGAAAAGCGAAGCCTTGCGGTTATTAACAAAATTCCTGAGATTAAGATGGTCATGATGGAGAAACTATATATATATCAATATCCACAATAGATTTCACAGTCAATCCCAATATCATGAGATTTTGGGAAACCTGAATCAACCCTACTGAAACGACACACTGACCCCCACAACTGAAGAGGGAAAAGAAAGGTGGATAAGCATTATGGTAGGATTTACTCAACACAGCTAGCAACTGAGGAAGAAGAGGAGAGACAGAGATGGGAGAGAAAGTGTGAGTAGAAAGTATGGGTTACACCTGCAGTGTCCATAGTAACCATTGTTGTCTGTCATCTCACATTACAACAAATTAGTTGAGTGGAGTGGAAAAAGTGTTTTTATGGAATTATCTAAATAAGAAAAAAATTTTCTTAGAACTGTAGCAGATTATTTAAACAAGTGAATAAATAGTAAGTCTGCTGAATTAATTTTTATCATTAATACAAATACTAGAAAAATTATTGAAATATGCTGTATGTAGTTATGTCTAGAGGAGGAAATTCAAATAGACTTAGCATAATAACAAAAAGAACGTTAGAAAATAGATGTTTTGGTGGAAATGTTGCTTATACAGAAATTTCAGAGAAGTAAAAAAAACTATTAGAATTTATTTTTCTTTGTTCATTTTTGTTTTGACTAGTCATAAAAATTAGATATTTTTTTTTTTTTAACTTTATGACCAATACCAGGAAACAGTTAAATGTGTTACTACACCTTTATTTCAATTTAAGTCACATCTATTTATATGGCAGTGGGGATGTCTGATTGTAAGATTATGTTCTCAGAAATTAGAAGAAAAAGTTGGAGAATTGTTTATTCTTCTTCTACCAAAATCTAATGTTTATTTATGATGATAGTGGGTGTAAAATCCTCTGTACTTACCTTGATAATTCCACCTGTATATTGAGCCATTGATTGATCTGGGCCTTTTGTCTGTGCAATCAGCCTGCTATCTTCATTCCAAGAGGGCTTTACGTTTCCAAAATACTTTTCAGCCACTGAAACAAGAGCATCATGCTCCATTCCAACCCCTGCTAACACCATACGGTCTGAGGTGTGGTAATTGTGCAAGTAGGTGTGAAGTAGGCGTTTGTCTACGATGGAAACATTCTCAGGTGGACAAATCTTTGCCAAACCTAGAGTGTTGTCTCTGTAAGCAGCCTAAAACAAAATTTAAAAAAATACCAGAAATTTTTAAATTTAAATATTAAATTTTTTCTAAAAAAAGAAAAAATACCATAAATTTATGGTATTTAAAAATACCATAAATTTACAAATAAATGTTAATTTATATTAAAAAAGTAGTGACATAAAAAGGAAATCAAGTTTAATATTATTTTAAACATATCCAATAACAATCAAAATTTATGCTGGCAGCATTTTATAATTATTACAGTTAAAAAACAAGTTTTTCTTCACATATTGTAGTATTTTGAAGTTTTCTTCACATATTGTAGTGTGACAATTAGCAAAGGTTGTTTTGCAGGGCAACTTATTACTGGAGGGATTTCAAGTCCCATTACATGCGAGGTCAAGTTAAAGTTGGCAAATAATGGAATAAGGTGTACACAATACTTAGGAAAATAAGTGTGTGCATGTGGTGTCTGCATACATAAGAAAGTGTGCATTTTACTCAATAGTCCATCCCAACCTCATCTGTAAGGAAGGAGTTCCAAGACCCTCATGCAGATGTCTGAAACTACAAATAATACTGAATCATGTATATGCCCCCCCCTACCAATGATAAAAAAGTTACTTTACCCATTAAAAATGGAAAACAAATTGCTACAAGTGTCTTTATATGGCTGTAAGCAAGCAGGTTTGCTCTGTACTACAAATGGTAGGCATGACTGCAACAGAAAAAATGAAATCCAGGGACTTATTATTAATCAGCTTTCAAAATAAACACTATGTAGGTTGGAAAGGGTTTGGCAATTGCAATTCTGAAAAAATCTCATGAGAAGAATCTTTTATCTGAAGCGTACATTGAATATTCACAGCATCCCTCAGTAAGAGAATGTCAACCTGAGAAAGCACAGTAGGCATCAGCAAAGTGCAAGTCCAGAGGTAGACAAGTCTTATGACAGAGTTATTCTTTTTTTTTTCTCTCAAAGATTACCCAATCAAAACATGTAACCAATCAGCCAAAGAATCTACGCTTATCTATTTAAAGTGAAAAGACTTTCATAAAATAAGATAACAATACTAACACCAAAATTTATGTAAAATTTCATCATGAATGGAAAAAGGAAAGAAAAAGAATATCTTTTTACTTTTTGAGTATTCTTTGCAATATGAAAAAAAAATGTTTTGCCTAAATATAACATTGTTCTAAACATACAAGATGTAAAAAGTAAACATTTCATTAAATACTTTAACCCTTTAGCATTCAGCCCACCCTGTAAATATCAGCTCTCAATATTTAGCCTGCCATAACCTGCCCCATGCATACTCTGCCATGATATATGATGACATCATCACAAATAACGTAGGAAGTCACACAAACAGTAAGACTTTGAGAGCTGATATTTATGGGGGTGGGTTTGATCATGTTGAAGGATAGAGGTATATGCTAATTTATTTTAGCAGAAGCAAAAACAATTTTTTGAATTGTATGAATTAAATACAAATAGCAGTAATAAAAAAATAAATAGAATGATTTTTTTTTATTTGATTTTAGAATTAGTATTTTGTCATAACACAACAGCCATGATAATTTGGGACACTAAACTACAAGATCAGCAAAGGATGTTTTAAGTCATGTGAAGTTTTGTTGAATTCTTTAAGATTAAAAAAATGTATGCCTATAATTTGTTCAAGGCTCTTCTCTTATTTTTACAAACATTTTGGAAAATCATAAAAAGATTTTCTCTCATAAAAACTGGAAATTAAGAATTAATAAAAGTTTTTAATCAAGTAGAGAAACCACCAATGTGTTTTGTGTTGAGATAAGTTTAGTATATTAATCTTTCAAACCATGAGGCAGTGTCTGCCATAAAATGTGTACTTCCTTAAATTTTACTCATTTCAAGGAATAAAGAGTAGAATTAAAGTTACCAACTTTGGCACTAATAGTTGCAAATATGTTGTTTCTGGCTTCTTGTTGACCTATGGTCAGCTAAATGTTTAAAAAAAAAAAAAAAAAAAAAGTAGTCTTCAAATGCAAAATTAAACTTACTGCATGAATATATTCCATTAATAATGGTTCTGGTTCTGGTTTCATATTGAGAGATTCCAATTCAAATTTTATCATCCATCGAGCATCTTCAACCTGAAAAAATGAAAACGGCTTTTAATTCCCAAAATACAGTTTGCTTGGCTTATTATTTTTGGAAACCACCATATTTGATAATATAAAAGACCTTACACCATTTATATTTAATATAACAGTATTATAGAGTTAAGCTAGGTACAAGTACTGACAGTTAAGAAACACTGCTATTGTTGTTTCCCAGAGGTCGCAAGGGATTCCATGAGAAACAGTGATGAATAGGCTATTACATTTTTGAGTAATTTTTGTTTAATTTAAATACATAATTTTACTGTACATATACAGCATATTGTTGGAAAATCCTTGGTTATTATAATAAAGGCTCCAATCTTTTATATTATTTAAAATTATAATAATCAGAATTAATGTATTTAGTGATATATAACATCAACTTAAAACCACCTTCACTGGTTATTGAACATGGCCTATATGTGGCAGAATCCTGTATCACTGAGTGACTCATTAGAGTACAGGACAAACATCCATATATTATATTTGCTACGTGAATTATGATAAAAATATAAAAGAGATAAATATTAATAATGGTATATAATAATTTTTATACAGGGGTTCTCTGAGACATGAAAACTATTTCAAAGGTTCCACAATGGTTTTTAGCCTTGTAAAAGACTGAGAAAAGCTGATCTAGGTCAGTTGCTGAGAAAGTTGGTTCACTGTGGCATGCTAAACAATTTTTCTCTCCAGAATCTATCCTACATAAGTCTACCATTTGTCCATGCTTTGAATATTGCTGCCACATATGGTCCTGGTGCTCCTACTAGATATTTAGAGATTTTTGATAAAATCTAAAGAAAAATCAGCAATATTATTGGTCCTGGTCTGGCATCTCAACTTCAGTCACTTTCCGACCACCATAAAAGTTGCTCCACTGTGCCTTTTCTATAAATACTTTTATGGTAATTATTTAGATGAGCTCTTCACTGTAGTGCTTAGATTTTTTTGAATTTAAGCAAAGTACTAGACTGACAATGAGGTATCATCAATTTACAAAATGGCTAAATGTAACCCTAAGTTCTATGCTAAAAATTTATTTTCTTGCTTGTAGAACTTTCTTCTGGCTCCATACTTTCCAGTCAAATTTGATCTTCAAAAATTTAAATGCAATGTCAATCATTATCTGATTACTCTTCTATTGCTTTCGTTCCTTAGTAATGTTTTTCTGTTTTATAATTCTTTCACACCTTTTGTGTCTTAGTTGCTTCACTGACTTGCTTGGGGTAAATCCAGGGGAAAAAAAAAGTGCCAATAGGATAATATTTACTCAGATATTATAAACTATCAGATACCTTTAAATATAATATCAGGGAGATATTGTGTGACTTGAATGCTTAATTTCACCCAGGGTAGGTGAACCCTACCCAATTAATAGATTGGTGCAATACAATTTTACTACTTCAGTTTCCCCTCTTTTGGTGATGTGTCATAGTAGGTTGGATTTAACCCTTCCCAATTCTTCTTATAATCAAATGACACTGGGATCCTCTTAAGAGTCTGCAGCTTGTTTTAGTAGTAACTTAAACTTCTAAATTCTGGTCTTCAGGTCCGGCAGAAAGTTTTGGTCAGGAGGTCTCAGTGAATGATGTGGATTCCAGTAGCAGCAGTGTGGGGATGCTATGTGTGTCTCCTGTTAAAAATCTCGAGCTTATATGGAGTTCTGTATCCAGCAGAGGTGGGGTTGACTAGGGTCTGTATTTTTCTCCTAAAATCAACCTTATATATATAATACCATATATATATATATATATATATATATATATATATATATATATATAATATATAAATACATTTATGTGAAGTGGTTTTCCAAATTTGGGGTTGTCCAGTTCTCTTTTGAGAGTGGTCAGAGGAATCAAGCCACCCTTTAACTCCAACTCTCTTTACACCTTACCTCACACCATAACTCCATATAGGCATGGACAAACAATCAATCAATCAATCAATCTCTCAGCAGCCAACCTCAGCCTGCTCTCTTGGTTGGAGGGATAAATCCAACTTCCAAATGGTACAGCAAAAACAAAAGGGATTTTCAGTCATTAATCCTTATCTATCATCTTGCCCCGTGCTGGGATTACTCTATTTACCAGAACACTCAAGAATTGGTAAAAGAAAGAAAAATCATTTCCACCCTCCTTAAAACAAAAGTTCATCTTTTCTCTGTCTTATGCATTATTTTTTTTTCTAACGATCAAACAGACAACACAGTCTTCTTGTCTATGGTCACTTCAAAATAGTAATTCTTTTTTCTTATCACTTGTATCCAAAGAAATCAGAGTTAATATTTGGATATAAAATTTTATCTAGATGAATGTTACAGAAATTATAATGATGATTGTGTCCAGTCGGTCTATCTCTGTAGGAATACTTTTCTTCTGGGTGGCTGATTCAAAACTGATAGTTTTTTTCTGTCTGGAGGAATTGTGAATGTTATTTACTTTGGTGACTGCCCTGGTTTCTTTATTGTCAACATGTTTTTATTTTATCTGACATCTTCATGGATGCCTTAATGGTCTCTTTCTTATCAGTGGGAAGTAGAGAATTGTGTCTAGTTAAATTTGGGTTCAATTCTCCTTGGAATTATTTCAAAAACATTTTTCAACACATTCTGTTTTTAATTTTCTTCAACTTTTTAATCTATCTTTCTGCAATTTCAACAATTGTCATACACTTAGTAGATTCTCTTCTCTTTCTTTCTTTCTCTCTCTTTTTGTTTGATCAACCTCCGGAGATCTCAGTATCAAATATGAGAGTTTGTAAGCATAGGAATCAACACTGCATTATGACTTTCAGTTTCACAACCCAAGCTCAAATACAAATATTTCAGGGTGTTTGGGTGTCAATCCGAGGACAGTGCAGAGAATTCAGAAAAAGTTGGATGAGTCTAATGGTGATTACAAAGGTATGGCAGCTTGGAAAAGTCACTCTGATTGTTCTTATAGGAAATTTGTTGGCAAGAGACTTAACACAGAGGTCTACTGCAAGTGCCTTGAGGAGGTAGTGCTGCCCTGAGTCAAGAGGGTGGCTGCTGGAAGATACTACATCTGGCAACATGACTCTGCACCATGCCACACAAGCAAGAGAACCCAGTCATGGCTGTAAAACAATTTCTGCAACCACATCATCCCTTACATCTGTCCACCTAACTATCCAGATTGCAACCCCCTTGATTATTATGTGTAGAGTGCAGTTCAGCAAAAGACCAAAAAAACTCCTTGTAACACCATAGATGAACTAAAGGCAAGGATTACAGCAACATTTACCAACTTAAATAAGGAGACCATCCAGAAGAGTTGCTGGAGATTCTGAAGGCTGTGGTTGAAACCAATGGCGATTTCATTGAATAAATTTACTCTTTAGTATTTCAAGATATTTTTGTGTAATTTTGGTAAATATAGCTGTTAAAATGAGATGTCATTGTTATTTTTGTGTAATTTAGATGACAATTTATCCATTACACCCTATGTATGGACTGATTGAAGTTATTATGCAGATTAAACTAATATTAGCTTAAGACCTCTGAAATCTAATAAAAACTATTTTTTTTCTTTTATCCATAATATATATTGAAACATGGGCAAAAGGAAGGATCTAACAACTGCTGAAAAACAGAAAATAACAGTAATAAGTGAAGGAAAGTCCACATTGGAAATATCAAAGGAGGTTTACAGAGATCATCGAATGGTAAAGAAGGCTGTTGAAAATGTAAATTGAGAACTTAAAGGAAAAGGCTTTAAGAACTTGCTTCCTCAAGATAAACATAAACTAAAATGAGTTATAGCAAAACAGCCACTTTTGATCAGCACTCAGAACTTTGAAAAGGCTGGAATTGAGGGAGTCAAGAAGGACAAAAGGTGCAGAATACTTTGTGAATTGGGATCTGAAAAAAAAAAAAAACCCTCAAAGCAACCTCCTCTCACTAAAGCAAATATTTTAAATCATCAAAATTGGGCCCAAAAATATATGAAAATCGAGTTTTCTAAAGTAATTTTCACAGTTGAATCTCGAGTGGCATTTGATGATCCTGATGGATGGGCCAAAGGAGGGATTTTATCCAATTCAGGCATACCTGTGGCTAAAAGAAGGCAACAAGGAGGTGGTAGCGTTATGATATAGGCTGGAATTGTCGACCAAATCATTATTGGAGAATTCAAAGTCAATGAAGCAGTTAAACTGAACAGTGCTAACTATTGTGATTTTATGAACAAGACTTTCTTTGCACAGTACAAGTCCCAATCTCACAGTTTCAAAGTGAAGTGTGTATTTATGCATGGCAATGATCCTTCTAATGTATCTAAAGTTACTCATGAATTATGTGTGTATAAAGGATTTACAAGAGATAAGATAATGGAATGGCCACCATCAAGTTCTGATTGGAATCTGATCGAAAATCTATGATCAGTTGTGAAGATGAAATTAAATGAAGGTGGCAAACAATATAACAAAAAAAAACCCAGATCTATGGGAAGCAATTAAAAACTACCATGAAAAAAAAATGAACCAAATCAATGGATAATAGGTTATTGGTTGCTATTGAGAAGGGTCACTATATTGAAATGTAAAGGATTCAAAAACTTATGTGTTTATTATTTGTTCTATTATAGGTGTTGATTAATTTTTGATGATTTTATTACCTTTTTATTGAAGTAAAATGTGATTATTTGGTTTTGCACAATAATTTCAGATGGCAGTTTTTAGTATACATCAAATAACTTCAATAAAACCTATTGATACTACCTAAAATTTTAATTCAGACTTTGTTTTGACATCTAAATTGTTTAAAATTTGACAATTTTTTTCAAACCAAATTTGAATTAGTGAATTTTATATGATTTGCTTAATAACTTCAGACAGGGTGTATATATAAAATCCATTTTCTAAGTCCCCTACAGAACTCAAGTGTTGCCATGTTTCACAAAATGTAATAAGACTTACACTGTCATAGTAAATTCAAAGAGGATATTCATTTCAGGCATGGCAAAGATTCATATAAACTTGGGATGCTAATAAGCATAATATTTACTTTCTTAAATTAATTTATAATTAAGAGTAAATGTTACAATAAAAAATATATAAAGCATAATATTACTAGATTCTTCATAAAAAAAGGACTCATTTTGTTGAAGAAGAATACTGTCTTGTATAAGTATTTACTAAGCTTAGTCTGAGATAAGGTTACAAGTGTAAGCAATCAAGTGACAATCAAAGCTCCTTACATAGCTACAGTGGTCTGTTATTACTCTGGAGATGGGGGAGCATTTAGAACACTATACATGAATACTGGACAAACTGGCCTCTGAAAAGTTTCATCCATTGAGTTAGAAATTTAGACATTTTAAGGCAGGAATAAAAGAAAATTGCTTACTTCTTCTTGTGTAAGTTTGGGTTTTAAGACAACTTCAGATAAAATTTCAATAATAGAAGGTAGACTGGCTGTTTTTGCTGACATGGCATAAATCAATGTATCTCTGAAATGAACAGTAATAAATTATCATGTAATCAGTAACATATATCAATCTACATGTAAGTAAAAAAGACAAAGGCTTTGTTACAAGTACCATTACGAATATGCTAGCAAAACCTGTGCAAATTCCATGGGTGCTAACAAACATGATTATCCTTCATCTCACGCATTTGTTTTCCTCTCTTTGTTTGGATCTTTTCATTCTTTCCCTGATCTGTTTCATTGATAGTCATTTTTTTTTTTTATTTTAATTCTAATACAAGTAATGGATTAGTTTATTATGCGAAGAAATATAGCAGAAATATTTCATACTGTATCCTCTCTTTCAAGTTTCTTTTGCTTTATCTCTCCATAAAGAATTTTTATGTATTGTAATATTTATGATTTCCAATCCTTCATTCATTCTCTTTTGATGTCCAGCCAGTAAGCCTGACTTTCTCTTGCTGCCATCCTCCTCCTGTGTGTGTGTGTATGCATATGTGATTTTTTTATGCAAGACAATGTTCTCAAAATAAGATTGATATTGACTAATTAATGTTGGTAAAATTGTCAGGATTTATTATGCAAAAAATTAAGTGCAAGATTTTTTTTTTTTTAAAACAAATGAATCCAAAAGATAATCGGCCACAGAAACATTTATTTGATTCACACAATATCCTATATAATTGAATTATTATTTTACATATTAATATATTCTCCTTGACATTCTACAAGCATCATGAGTCTTTCATTCATTGATTTTTTTCCCCAACTGTTTTGACTTCAGTTTTTACTGCCTAACAGAGATCATCTTTACTTGAATATTGTTTTTCATTCTCATGCAAATTTCCTTAAATGACAAACCTATTTTTTGCTCTTGAAACCCTCTTCACCAGATACTATACCCTAATCTAAGTTAGAAAAGTATATCCGTTGTACATACAAACAAGTAGAATAATAATAAAAATTATAGAGACAAAAGTCTGTCTGGAATGAAGATTAATAAGTTCTTGGTGCCTCCACAGATTCACAATAACTAATGTTTAAAATGATTTTTAAAAAAAGAAAAATCTTTCTTCAAGCTTTTATTTTAGTTTTAATTTCAAGTTATTAGATTAAAATTAATATTTCCAACAAGCAAAATACTTTCCTGTATTTCAAAACTAATTTAAAAATTGACTAAAAGTATTGTTTTTGCTAAAAAATCTGATTTCAGCGCCATTTTTAGCCCATGTTTGTCTCAATGTAATCCTCTTTATTAAAAAATCTTCCAAAAATAAACCTTTTTGAAACAATATTTGAGGAATATTAGCTAATTTAAAGTATAATTAATCTGATTTGAAACAAATATTTACTTTAAGTTAAAAATATCATGGAAATGTATTTTTTAACATAGCGGTAGCTGTTTATTTCAGCTGTTGATGTGTCTATCTAAGATTTTAAATGCAAGCACTTTTTGCATATCATTTTTAAGTACTCAGTAATCTTTAAAATTTAGGAAAATATTCTTCATAATTTAATGTTTTATTGAATTTTACATACTTTGGCTTTAAATTTACTATAGCCATTGCACCATTTTCTGATAATGTTGTGCATGATCAACCATATCTACAAAAACTGGCACATTTACACATACAAAAAAATTCAAAATTCTTTTAAAAATATTGGTTTTGATGAATTGTACAAAGCTTTTCCATTTATGATTAGTAAATATAGTTTTTATTTAATAATATCATATAAAAGGGTGAAATTAATACAGAATTTCAAAAAAGATTTAAAACTTAATAAGTTATTCTAATTAAAATTTAAAAAAAAAATGAACAATTCTTGTAAAAATTTATTATTCAATGAAAGAAATTCCTTAATATGTCTTATTTATAAAAGTGTTTCTAATTAAATAATGTCTTAGCTATATTGCATTATTCTACTTTACAATTCAGAGCAGATTTTCTGTGAAAAAAAAAGAAAAGAAAAAGAAATATTCAATTTAAATTTTACAAGGAGTTCTGCTTTTAACTAATATAAATATTAAGGGAGTAAAATCTGATTTCTCAAAATTTCATAAAATTAAGTGGAGATTAATAGATGTAAAGAAAAAAAAAGATTTTTACAAAGATTTTCTAAAGCAAAAAAAAAAAAAATTTCATTCATTTGTGAATAAGTCCTGTATGTTTCATTAAAATCCAACAATTTGTTGATTTTTGCAAGAATTTTGACATCAATGTTTTTACTGCAAAAAAGACACTAATCATTATCTTTGCACCCCCCCGCACACACCAAAATTTTAAATGTACAAGAAAAGATTAAAAATAAAATAAAAATAATAAAAAAATACTTTTGTCTTTCCTCTTAGCAACAACAAAGATTTTAATGATAAAGCTTTGTTTTTATCAAATTTGCAGCATTTTTTCATAATGGTATGCTCTTTTTTTTTTAAAATTAGTAGAGGTACCTAATTAGTAACAACAACTTTTTATTATTTTACAGTCAATTCACTCATTTTTTTCATGCAACTTACCAGGTTTTTCTTTTTAAATGACCTTTTTATTATTTTTGCAGGCAACAAATTCATTTTGTAATCAACTGATTTATATAATTGTCCAAATTAGTAGAGATTTTTTTTATCTCAACTGATATAAATCAAAAGCACATAAGTTTTTAATAATATACAAGTTATTTTGTACCAACATGAACAACACATGTCCGTCTTTCCAGTTACCATATTGTTAAGAAACAGTTTTTCTGGGTTACCAGAAAAATAAGATTTTTCAGTTGAAAATTTTCCTAATGAAATTGCTTGCAGTATAAAAATGAAAAAAATGTTAAGAGAAAGAAATTATGGAGAAATAGTTACACTGAAGAAAAAAAAGAAAAAAAAGAAAAGAAAAGGGAAACGAAAATGAAAAAGTCAAAAAGAAGAAAATGTTTTCGTATTCAAAATTCAAAGTCTTACCTGGAACCTTGACAATCACTAATGCCACCATGTTTCTCTAATTCTTGAAGAATCTCATCTCTGTTCCTAAATCTGTCTGTTGACTTAAAATAAAATAAAATGACATATATATCTCTTTCTCTCTATCTCTCTCTCTCTCTCTATATATATATATATACACACACATATATAGAGGGTTGATAGGTCATATATAAACAAAAGGGTTTAAGTATTTTGAGTCCCTATTGAAATGTTCTGAAATAATTTAGGGGCATTGGAGAAATAAAATAATTAGGGTTATTTAAGTTTTAACCAGATTCATTACCACATAAAATTTATGATTTTCTTTTTTTAAATATTTCTTTAGTACAATGGTTTGAAAGGGATTAATTTTAGGACATAGATTTTTATTAATTAGCTAAGAAAATTAGAGCTAAAACTCTAAAGAAACCAATTCAAGATGTGTGAGGCTGAGTTCATGGCAGCCATGTTCAAAATTGGCTAACTGATAGAATTTTCCAATCTAGAATCTGCAACCCAGAACTTCATGAAACATTCCCTCCCTCCCTCCCTCCGTTGGAAATAAAATACCCATAAATTCAAAATAGTTTATGGACAATTCGTTAGTTTCTTTTCAGAAAAATTACCACAGGCTTTTCCAAAATGGTGATCACAATTTCAAGTGAGACATTTTTTCATTTTATAATTTTGCTGGTTATTGTAAATTTTCCTGTCAAAAATAAAACTGCAATTGTACATTTAAAATGTAAACAAATCCATGAATAACTGTGTGGAAAAATCATGTTATCAAAATAATTACGAGTTTTCCTTTTTTAAATTTCACACAATTTTAGAAAATATTCAGCAAGTCACTCTGATAATGAAATGATTTGGTTTCGTTTATTTTGTTTTACGGCATATCAACTTCAATATTTTTAGGATAGATTCGTATGAATAGAAAATGTATTCTTTGGTTTAGATTGGTTTGGTTTATTTTGCTTTATGGCATATCAACCTCAATGGGTTATTTAATACCGACAATTTTTTTATTACTGGTAATAATATTTTGTTTTGTCAAAAATCTGTTTCTGGTAATATTTTTCCTTCAAAATTGTATTGCTGGTAATAATGTTTTTCAAAAAAGTATTGCTGGTAATAGTTAACTATTTACCCATAGCTGGGACCCTAACAGGTGCTACCACCCTGGGCCAGGGTGGACCTGGGAACACCAGCTCCTCAAAACCTCCTGATCAGAAGCCTTGCTGTTAGACATAGTTTATCGTCTTACCCAGGATGCAGATGTAGTTTAACGTCTTACCCAGGACGCGATAATGAAATGGGGGGAAAAAAAAAGAAAAAAGAAAAAAAAAGGTACATTTTAAGATGATGTGCCCGGCCATATCATCTGTTATGTAATCCCTGATGATATGGTTAGGCACATCATCTCAATGTATTTTATTATATAAGTACAGTATTTACCTTCATATTACTTGGTATTTTATTGCAAGTTATTTTAAATTTTATTTTAAATTTAATGTCAGTTTTTTTGTATCATGGACTCAGATGAAATTGTAGCAAAGTAGAATATGTGAAGCTGCTTAGATGAACACAAAGTATTCCACTGTGCAAAATTTAGTGAAATGAGAAGAAAACTTATCCCCTCCTTATATTCGTTTCATGATGGAAGTGAACAGCATGGTTGCTTTGAAATTTAATTAAATCAAAAATATTTAAAATAGATTAAAACACATTATTTGGAAATTGGTAAGTAATTACTATGAAAAATTAATAGTTATTAAAATAAATTATTTTGTTTCAAAACGTGTATAAAATGAGTCTACATAAATAATTTTGCATTCAAATGAATTGATAATATCTTACTGATTTTTAGCTACAATAATTGAGGGCAAAATTAGATTTACACATTATATGCAATGTAAATATGAAATTAAAAAAATAATAAAGTTTTTATTCATCACCAAAATCATAAGTAGAAATTGAATTCACAATCACTATGCCACCAAATTCACAAACCAACATTTTAATCCACTAGCCTATGGTAGTACAGACTGACTCAGTGAAAGTAGGGCAAGCAAGCAATAAGTGAGCAGTACTAAAAAAAAAAAAAAAAAAGCAGAAAGAGAACCCCCATAGATTAAATAAAGGGTTCAGTCTGAAATTACTTGAAGGTGACCCAAGTGGATAAACACCTAAAGAAGGCGGGAGAGAGCACAGCATTCAAAATGTTGTGATAACAACAGGGATAAGGATATTAGTCTGAATATAAATAATGAATCAGTATTAATTGACAGTTCACTAAAATTATCTTCATCTATTTTGTATTTTTTTTTTTTAAGTCTGTCATGAACTAGGCTGACACTCAAAACAGTCTTAACTTCAATTCCTCATAAAATTTTCTTGCTGCCTTTTAGTATGTTTTGGATTGATCCATTCTTTAAATTTCCAGAATTCTAAACAAAATAGCAGCTCTATGTAAGACGTGAACTCACGCCCTGTCCCACAGCTTTATCATAAAACAAGATCTATAGGAACTTTTAACATTAATGCCATTCAGTTCAGTCTGTGTTCATTATCCCTTAGCGTACAACCACTACGTTTACTCTTATTTATTCTACCTCACTTTGCTGAATATCTCATTGTCACCATACTACTACTAACTTATGAGATTTTTAAAGGTTTTTATTATTGCACGTTGCTTTGTTTTTTTTTCACTTAATGTGAAGGTTCAAGGATAAATCATCCAAAAATGTGTGTAAAAGCAACAAAAAAGATGAAGATAGACGTAAATAAAAATGAAATTATAAAAATTCTTCCTCTGAAAATCTTAAAACAACGTCGTAGTAGTAGTAGTAGTAGTAGTAATAGTATTACTACTACTTTTGGCAGAAAGAATTTAGTGGCATCACATTCAAAATAGTTACAAAATGTTTAATAAGTAAATATTCAAGTAAAGAATATAATTCATACCATGTAAGCCAATTTTTCCAAGAAGTGGGAAATTCCACTGGGGTAAGCCACTTCATACCTGGAACCAGAGTTAATTGCCACTAAAAAAAGCAAAAAACATTTATCTGTGAGAATAAAAAAAAAAAATTGTGAATATTACACCATTTTCTTACCAACCAAAAAATGAACATTAACCTTCATGTCTTAACCCCCTCCAGTCACACAAGTCACTTATTTTATCTTAGTTACTTCAGTTAACCAAGAGAGTATTTATGAACTTCTACTAAACTGATGTACATTATTGCTGAGGTTTTATCTTTTTAGGAGAGAAAATTTTGTTTTTGAAAAAGGAATCCAAAATCTTATTAATTCTTGCGAAACATGTGGAGGAGTGAAGGGTAAAGTCTTCCTTACAAGAATGTTTTTTTTTTATATACATGGCTTTCCAAAATGTATTGAGCACAATTTATTTAACTAACTGAAATATATTTGAAAATTTGGAAATTTGTATTCAGTTTCTCAAATGCAGAAGTGCATGATAAAATTTTTGTTGGGTCTCATCAGTAGTTTAGTAAGAAGCAGAAAGTATTTTATTGCTTTTTATTTTTCATTGTAATTCAAATTACATTTATTTGAGTTGTATCTCTTTAATCCAACCTTGGAACCTAAACATTTATGAACAAATGAAAATGTCAGAAAAAAAAAAAAAAATTGACACTATACATATCAAATTATAGCAATTAAATTTTAAGACAAACAATAAATATATTTTAATATACTTTACATAGTATCAATTATAATAAATTAAAAATATTTGTATTTGCTTCTGCTTTTTAATTGGTTGAATTAAAAAAATAATTGATGAAATTCAAAAGAATTTAATATGGACATGCTAAAATAAATATTGAATACTATCAGAGTTCTTTGATTTGGTTTCAAACCTTGGTTCAGTTTTTACACATTTGATTTAACAAGTCGGTTTATAAACTGAAGTCTGAAATCCATACAATAATAGACGTAAATTCAATATGTAATGGTCATGGATGTTGCTGAATCCGAGAATACAGTGTTAGAGAGGTACAACTTTTACTTTAATAAGGTAGCTTTTTTCTTTCAACCACAAAAATTTTATTTCATTCATAGTAAAGTCGTGGTTGGCAAAAAACAAGATAAAAGATGGATGGGCCAAATTGGTTTACATACCAACTATTAAAGTTTAGCCAGTGGATCTCAATTTTTTTTTTTTTTTAAACTATGGACCCTTTTTCATATTTCAGAATGCTATCTTCTCACAACCCACTTCAAAGATTGTACAGAATTGTAGTGTGTAGAAATATCTAATATTCTAAAAGTTTGCACTGTCAAATCTGTGGTCCATTTACCGCATTGAAACTCAAAAATTTCCCCTGTGCTACAAGTGAAGTTACATTAAAATAAATATAAGTGAAAAAAAAAAAAAAAAATTGAAATATTTGTTTGTTTCATTCTTCTTGTTAACAGCACAGATACACATGTTAACGATTTGTGCAGAAAATACCAACTTACCTCATCAAAAGCTGAGAGCATATGCATGCTGATACCATTTGCAATGAAGGAAGTATGCATGTCTCCATTATGAAATTGAGTCCAACTCTTTCTATTAGATATAAAGGTAAAGTTTGAGAGGATGACCCAGATTTACTACTTACAGGATTTGCATGTGTGTGTTGAAACAAGCATATAGTAAGCACTTCTAAGCTAGTCGACAGAATGACAGTATAGGAAAAGCATTGAAGTTAGTAATGACAATGCAACTTTGCAAACTGTTTGTTTTTGTTCTGGGAGAGAACCTTTTACATACAGTTGGGATCAGCCTTTTTCAGACAAAATTGATTTGTCTTATTTGAATTGACTTACTGTAATCCTATACAATTACAGAAAGCCATTTTCTTTTAATCATACACTTTTGATTCCTTTCAGTTATATCACAATAAATTCTTTGAACTTTTAAACTTAAAAGTACAAAATTGGGATTTGAATCATATTCTGGCTTAAAATTTATACATTTTAAAACTCTAAAGAAAACATTCCCATAAAATGCTGTGACTTAAAGCCAGAGAAAAGAACAAAAATAACATTGATTGAAAATCTTTTGTTTCTATATACTCGTCCTGTTCTACCTGCAAACCCTAGTAACAGAACGGTCTATATCATCACGCCTAAGTACAAATAACCTCGACCAATTAAAACTGTATTAGGCGAATAAAGAAATTTCATTGGATAACGACAACGATCTAAAAAGCTTCACGCCTGAAATCGAAATTGCGCCAAAACCTTTTGAGCCAACTTTGGACCTTCGAAAACTTATATAAAGGAAAAACCAACTGACCAAAGTCAGTCAGTGACAGCACCACAGAGAATTTGCTAACTTACTCCACGTCGTTTGAAACTAGACTTTACCGCCAAAGAAACACCTCAACGCTGACTCACTAATAATTCAACATAACCAATTCTGTGGACACTAATTCTTAGATATTGCTTATCCAAAGTAAATTACATTTACTATCTATTAAGTGAACATTCATGTGCGAATGACCTTAAAATATTACAGTGAAAGGTAAATTACTTCTTAAGAACTTTCTGAACGCTTACAAGAAAGACATTCTGAAACCTAAAACATCATACAAAAAACTGAATAATGCATAGTTTATATAAATGTAGTACTTACCCCCAACTGTACAAAACTGTCCAAATTTATTCTGAGATGCCACACGAAGACCATTAGGGAGAACAGTGACCTTCGTGTCTTGTCCATCTGAAGTAATTTTAGCATACTGAGCTGGTGGCACCTGAGGTAATGGAGAGGTAAGTGGGATGGTCGGAATGCTGGAGGAAGAACTGGAAAAATCTTTTCCACTACTGCATAAATACCTGAAAAAGATAATTGTTTTTAATTTATATATATTATTGCGGTTTTATGACAAAAGTTGTAGTTAAGCAACCGATTTCTAGATGAAGAAATACTTTTGGAAGTCCCACAGACTTATAACTACACTAGAGATAATTCAATCTTCAGTAGATACCCAATGTCCTTATGCTATACTAAACTTAGTAAATACCGATATGTTTATTGTCTTCATGTTTATTGTTCTATAAAAATTTATCCTCATCATTAGTCCCATGACCTGGTGTGGTCGTAGGGTCGCTGCATATTTGAGCATCTGAGCAGCTTCCTGTCTCGGTTGTGTGCTAATGTCTGAGTCTCTGTGAATGATCCTTCCAGTCTATTATCAGGCCATTTTTTTTTTCCTTTGCTTGCCTCTTCTTTTGCCTTTGGTCATATATTGTAATGGAAAAATTGTTGGTTCTTATGATATATAACCATACACTATTTAAACTTTCTCTTCTTGACAGTTATGGTGAGCAGGCATGTTTCTTGTTTGATGGCACCTTGCACAGCATCATTTGCAATGCAGTCTATCGCAGATGCCTAAGTGGAAGGCATCTAGGCATTAGAAATGAGATGCTACAGAACCATCCTGAGAGAGAGAGTGTGTGTGTATATATATATATATATATATATATATATATATATATATATATATATATATATATATATATATATATATATATATATATATATAGAGAGAGAGAGAGAGAGAGAGCATTGGTTTGACTAATTGTGCAAGAACAGAATTAAATGTAATATTTTTCCTTTTTAGGTAAATCTATTTAAAAGGAACAATCATTTATAGTGAGCAAAATTCAGGGTTACAGTGTGTTCTGTGGAACCTACTGTATATATTTTGTATAACTCTTTTCACAAAGTGCACAGATACTACACTGATCGTAGGCAAAAATGCTGGAGAGCAGCACTTTAATCTGAAGCAAAAGTGCTACTCCATACTTAAATAATCCCATCATTTTTAACATGTAACTCTGTTGACATTCTTCAAAAAAAAAAAAAAAAAAAAGTTCCCCTGCCTTCAAAGTCAAAACAATTGACTGGTCTACTGGTCAAAGTGACAGTGTTTTATCCTACATCTCAGATGATGTCACACTGATTGGAAAATTGTCTTAATTATGGTAAAAATTAAGAAAACAGTTAACATTGAATGAGATATGGTATTCTCATTGAAAGCCAAAAAAGACAAGTTGAAAGTCATAATCAAAACAACAATGATGATGAGTTTTGATATGTCCCGGAAAGGGATATATTTGAACGAAGTAGCTAAGTGGTTTTGGCTACTATAACCAAGTAGAATACGGTAGTAGTAATCGACTGGTACGCGTCGGAGTCGCAGGTAAGAAGTGTAGATCAATGGCATAGTCCAATGGGCATCGTTATAGACTTAGCTCTCAGACTAAGGCTCTGACTCTCGTACGTATCCGTCAGTATTTATGACGAACACCAGCCAATCATATTCCAGTGAGAAGGAGCACAGGTGTATGCATATTCCATTATATCAAGTTCAAATTAATCCACGGAATTAATACTTCACATTTCAAAACACCAACACTTGATGAACTCATGAAAATAAAACAAAAAACAAAGACTATAAACAAAATTTTATTGTTTGTCTGAAGCATTTTTCAATAGGTGGCATGTAAACACTGAACTGAAATTTAGGATATATATATATTTATATGTTTATACATTATTTTTATCGATACAAATATTTAAGTAAATGCTCTGTTTATAATAAACAGTATTAACAACATTTACTGGCCTGAATGTCAGAGAAATTTCACAGAAAATATGTTTTCTCTGACAGGAACCAAACATTTTTTTTATGAAATTTCTCAGACATTCAAGCCAGTAAATGTTGTTAATACTGTTTATTATAAACAGAGTATTTACTTAAATATTTGTATGTATAAAAATAACATATAAACAATAAATGTATTAAAATAATTATCGGACTGAGTCCATTTCATCTTGCCTGTCTCAATCCCCTTTGAGCCATGAGGGGAGGCGCTTTCAGCCAGGTGTGTGGGCTTCTTCATGATGCAAAGTGGTCCACCAAAATCAAATTCGTGTGAATGGCCTCTTTGATTCATAGCCATGTCTGTCACTGCCACCAGGGGAGAGAAAGGAAATAGGGAGAGAGGATAATGATCCCAATGCTTGGATGCAAGTGGGTGCCAACAATGACATATATATTGGACATTGTACATACAAGTGTATATATTGGATATTATTATCATCACAATTTGACATTAGAATTTGAATTAGAAGTTCCTTGAATTTTCATTGTTAAATTTGTTACTTTTCATATAGAATTATATTTATGAAATTGGTATAGGATTTTGTCCGGTTACCATACTCTCAATAACACCTAAATCTTGCTGTCCCATGTCTTTGGCAATTACCTTAGCCTAGGGAAACGAGTAGTTTTGGGATGACCCACTATGAAATTTAGCTGTATATCGAGTGGGTAATCTGAAGGAAACGTTTTACTTTTATGAAATCATTAAAAAAGGGGATTTTTTTTTTTTTTTATTAGAATTAAAAATAAAAACTGAGTTTTCAATTATGCAAGTCCATCACCGAAACAGTCTGTTGTTTTTAAAGAAACGAATACTGATAATTTTTTTTATACAATTTCAAAAATTTATCATTGATCAAACCCGTAAAAGTTGTGGCTTAAAATTTGGTGCCTGATTTTTTTTTCTTATTTTTATTGACAATTCTTTGAATCGAAAACTCAGGTACTAAATAAAACGATCGAACAGGCTCGCTAGTTATTGTCTTGGAAAATAGAAAACTTTTGTCTTTTTAATTTGGCATAATTCAAAGTACGTAATGATCTTGCGAATGATTATTTTTGGCTTAACTACCGTTTACTTTTTTTTTTTAGTCAAGTCGGTTTTTATTCTATTTTTATACAAATGTTTATTAAAGTTTGTTAGTGTTGATTGTTGAACAAAGATTTGTTATGTAGAAAAAAAAAGAATTTTAAGTGGAGTGAGGCGGGGGCTGTCTTGAAAATGGGTCGTTTCTTTGCAAATGTACAGGGTGGTCCGAAATACTTGTCACCCACCTACATAAAATAATATTCTATTTCTGATGGCTGACACGAAAATGATGGGATTCATGCAGACCTTCTCGATGTGTGAAAGTGTCAATGAAAATGAATAAACAAAACTGAATCCAGTACATGTGCTTTATATTAAATACTGTATTACTTGTGCTTATATTGTTCTCTTTACTGTTTTGGTAAGAGGGTGACAAGACTTTCGGACCACCCTGTAAATTATCTAAAAAAATTTTTATTCAAATCTGAAATTGGTATTTAATTTCGGAAATCCAACACACAAATAATTTGGGAATACGATTTTTTTTGTTTCTAAGATGAATAAAGGAAGAAAAAAAAACCGAAAAAGTACAGGTGAAGGATTTTTTCGAAGAAAGATCCAACCAAAGGTAGAGCGGAAAACAACGCATAACAAACATACTTCAATGAACTTAAAAATGGATGGCGGAACACGGCTTAGGAAAATAAACAGAAAGACAAAGTTTAATAAGAACTACAAAGGACAGGAAGTTGTGGAGAGCCATAATCGCCTACGTCCTCAGGGGGACACAGCGCATAAAAGAACTTTTGACATTTTCTGTTTCTTCGTGAAAATATTTTTAAATTTTAAAGCCGGTTTTTAAATTTAAGCAAAATTAACATGTTTTTCTTTTTATTATATTTTTGTAAACAGGTAAATTTAGAATGTATTTTATTCTCCTAGTATAGTGTTCATTTTTAAACTTACCTTAAGGAAAATTCACATTCTAAGAGTGACCTCCTGACAAGGACGATATTCCTCAAAAACATGCTTGCTCAAGATGGTGAACTAAACAAAGTCACGTGGTACGTCTTGCTTAGTTTCGGATTTAATTAAAATTTTAACTTTTTAGAAAAAAGTAACTATATAGGTGCGAATTTAATAATGATTAAAATTATGACTATTGAGTTATTATTTTAAGTACAAAATTTCAATAGTTTACCTTCAGGTTTCTAAGCTAGTATTTTTATCCGAATGAATGGAATGCGTCGCAAACCCTATGTTAAAGTTTCCCTTGTTGAAATAAATAAAAACAGAGTTGTACCGATGACGTTATTTCAGAACGTTTTACAACTACCTTGCACCACTTTACGGCATATCACATCCCTCCACAACTTTGACTTTGTATGTTTGGTTACAATTTTGTATCTCTTTAATTCCGTGCAAAAAAAAAAAAAAAAAAAAACTAGTGTGACGCACGTGTAGATATAGCTGTCACCATAACTTGTTTTAAGTGGAATTCCTACCTTCACCGCAACATGTGTTAATGTTTAACCGACCCCCCTCCCCCCACGCGGGATGTATGTGGCACAAGGCTGAGTTTACTGTGGGTTGTCTGAGCCCGTAGGCTCGTCCAAAAATATTTCCTTAGAACCCGCATAAACGGGTTCAGGGACTGTCCACCTCCCCGGACGAAACTTTGCCCTTCGGCAAAGCCTCGTCCGGGTTCCTCTCTGCTCAAGGCAGAGAGTTCGACAATAACGAACAATCCTAGTTCACCGCAACACGTGTTATTTTTTAACTACGGAACACTAAAATTGTAAATATTCACATCTACATGAGTACAACAACGCTTGTAAAATTAATGAATTTTGAAAATAATTGAATATTGATAAAAACTTTTATTCTGTTTGAATTTTCTAGGACGTGAAGTTATTATTTCGTCACGTCAGACACTGCATGTACTGCAACCATAGTCTCAGTGGGTGTGGCTAGGGTAAGAAGATAGACTGACAGAGCCAACATTCAGGTTGGTTTGGAATATATAAATAAGATTTTTGGATGAGAATTAAAAAATAGAGTGGTCATTAATCTCTTAACTCTGCTCACTCTCAGTGTGATATTACCATGCCCTTCAACAAAAAGTTTTTTGGCAACTGCTTAAAAAGTTATACTGTAGAAAATTCTGTCGTCTAGGTTTTTTTTTTTTATATTAATAATTTGAACGTCTGAATTCCAAGCAATAATAAAATACAAATAAAGAAAACATAGTTATGCCTGTTAAAAATCATTTGTATATATTTACAAACATATATACATGAATTCAAGAGTTGAAAAGGTGTAAAAATAGTCTTTAGTTGAGTTAAAGTCTTACTAAAGACTTGTAGTGATTCATAAATAAGCAGGAGTTGCGTCCCCTGCTTTGTTAGGTTATAGTAAAAGGAATTAGAATTCCCATAATGCACTAGAAAGACAGTTTGGGCATGAAAATACAAAGTCTCTCATTCTCTCTAGCCGCCAGCTGTTGAACCAGAAAAGCGTGTTTTCTTAAATGAACTCACAAGAAAGATATCACTTCATACAGATAAGCCTAAAAACATTTCTTTCTTTGCATTAATACATAAAAATCAATATATGTGTGTGTGTATGGTTTGTGAATAATACAAATCAGTTATGTAAGCAATTGTATTTTTAATAAAAAATCAATCATTATGTTATATCGTGTTGCATGCATATCAAAATATATTTTATTTCATGTAATACTGTGCATGAATATTAATTTAACATGTTGTGGACAGATGATATAATCCCAACTAAAAATAACAAAATCCACAACAAGGCCTCATATCATTCACACTCCCACAACATATTTTAAAATAGTTCTTCCACAGAAAAAAGCTGTCATTGAAAAAAAACTTTGTCAGCAAAGATTCACTGTCTCTGCTGCTGGTGTTGGAGATATGTTTGAAGTCGCCTACACGTTTCTTTCAGCATGAAAAAAGCAAAAAGCCATGTAGCCACATCTTCACTGGTGTTTGAATGGATTGGAGACAATCGCATCTCTGCTCTTTGAAAGTCAAAATCTGTGGGTTTTTATAAGAAATTTTTCCCAAAAGTTGGCTTGGGAAAAATAGGGTTTTAGTTTTCTATGATTGGTCAAATATTTCACATGGTGGTGTTAATTTCTAACCAATACACTTTAAGCAGCATGTGTTGTATTGTGGAATATTTTTGACATGCTTGTAATATTGTCTGTTATTGGGTAGAAAATAAAGCTTAGCCATATTTTAATATGGTATATATGTGGGTATGTAAGTGTGTTGGAAATAGCATTTCTTTCCTATAATACAGCCCCGGAGAAATGGTGGTGATGCTGTGTACTTGCTAGTATTCCCCCATGAGAACAACTTCTTGACATTGATGTTGTACCATCCTACTGCAGAGGTACAAGAACGGAGACCAACTCACAGATCTCCAATGCAGTTGTCGATATATTTCTAGAAGCATACCATCTTCCAACATCAAATATTAATAAGTAAATAGAACATACTATGTTACAAATTGAAATGGAAACACTGAAAAATTTCAACCATATGCACCTTACTACTACTTATATGCGAAGACTTTATTAACAAATGCAGTGTTCAGATGTGGCTTTTCTCAATAAGCTTTGACTTTGAGACTCTTTGTGTCAATGCTATGTCTGGCTCAGGGCAATAAACATCGAATGTTCTGGAAAAAATAAAAGGTATGAGAAAAAAAACTCACTAATTAGTGAATGGAATTTAAAACCCATGATAATTTGAAAAGATAACTGTGTGAGCCTGGCGACCTAAATAAAAAGAAAGTTACCATTGAGTGAGGATCACTATTCATTCATGCCTCATGAGTGGATAGTTGCACAAATATGGGGACAGCCATATCAATTAACATTTTTCTGTTAAGAATGGGTTGCAGATTTGAAACAAAGAAAAAGGCGAGAAAGGTTTTTAAATATAAAAATATAAAATATTATCTTTGTGTTTTTACAAGTAAAATTTTTCTTAGCGCACATGAATATTAAAGTTCTTTAAGTGCTTGTTTGTAGATGTTTGTTAAGATGAAAAGAAATATAATTTCTTCGCATGCATGTGTGACAAAAAAGATCTAAGGGAGAAAATGATGAGGAAAGTGTAAATGTCGCATAGCTTGGTGATGAAGATGGGTGAATGAGAAAAGAAATTTCTTTTAAGCTGCGTTGTTGTGAACTGTTATCATATGTTACCATTTCTATCTCTTTACTGGATTGTCTGGTCTAGAAACTTTGCCTATATGCTCTTCAAAGGGATCATGAAATGTTATTGTCAGTGGGAACATGGCCCATTGGTTGAAAAATGTTAAATAATTATTTTCAAAGGATTAATTTATTAACCAGAAGGATGTACGAATCCTCCAACTCAGAAACCAGTTTTTTGACATTTGCTGTTTGGCTCTCTTGCTGTTGCACTCCACAAATGAAAAGAGCATAAGACATGTGGCAAACCCAAACACCAGATGAAACACTTTAATTACTAAGGCACCACAGAGCTAATAAAAAATTCCAAACAATATAAGTGAAAATAAAAACTGACAATTTGTTCTTCTGAAATTATATTCAAGTAGATGCAGATAGCTTCTACTAAAATTCTTCATTTAGAATTCCTCATCAACAAGATTTTTCACCACTTCTATGAACAATCCCGATTCCTGACAGGACAGAATATCAAAAACAAGCAATGACATTTTAACTGTGTAAGTCCCACTTTCACAAAAAATATTTTTTTTTACCCAGTGGATAAAAGCATTGGTTGAGTCATCCAAAAAGTGGCTTGTGAGTTCAATACCTGACCACAGCAGAGGGAACAAAACTTGGTGAGCTGAGTTATGAAAGGGAGATAACTGAAATTGAGATATCCAAAAAAGGCATGTGAAATTAGAACAATTTATCCCCATGAACTAAATAAAGGGTTCAGTTTGAAATTCCATATCATCTGCAGACGGTTGGAGTATACAACAGTCAAAATGTTGTGAATATGGCAATAAAGATGAGAACAAAAGTCCAAAAATTGTAAATAGTGTAAATAGCTTAATTTTATTAGATGCTCAAAAGAATATTTTTAGCAAGTCTTTCTACCCTTTGATTTCCAATTAAATGTATTGTAAATAAATATTCTTTCTGTTCAATTTCACACCAAGTAAAAGTCCTTTATTTCTTGTGCACCTAATGATCTGGTAATTTTTTATTTTTTCAATATGAATTAATTTTCCATAACACAGGCGTTTAGTATCTGTCTATATTTCTGAGATGAGGTATTATGTACACTATTTACATTATTCGGACTATTGTCCTCATCTTTGTTGCCATATTTATTATAACATGTCAGCCATTATACGCTCCGGCCTACTTCAGGTGGTTGGAATGTCGAACTGAACCCTTTATCTTGCTCACTGGGGTAGACTGTTCTAATTCCATGTGCCTTGTCTAATGGATGTTAGTTATCAGTTATCTCCTGTTAATTCCCCTCTCCAAGTTCAAAATCAGGCATGGCTGACCACATATGGAGAGAAAAGGGAGATCACCACTCTCTGTGGGATCAAGTTGAGATCATAGACAAAGAACATCATTGGAAAATTCGTAAACTTAAGGAATCAGCACATATGCTAGGCCACAAAAATCTCCTGAGCCGACCCAACCATAGAAATGAATACAATATGAGAACCAGTAATAAGGAGTGCCAGAGAAAAGCGATAACTACAACAAAAATTGCAATATGAGCTCTGGTAAAAACTTGATGATAACAGAAAAATTGCAATATGAGAACTGGTAAAAAATGTTTGCTGAAGACATTAGGTTTATAATAACCAGAAATTCATACAAGGACACATGTCAAAGTGGATAAAGGCGTTTGTTAGATCCAGTGATAGGACCCAATGAGTGTGAGTTCAATACATGGTTAAGACGGTGGAGAACTTGGAGAGGGGAATTAACAGGAGATAACTGACATCCATTAGACATGGCACGTGGAATTAG